CAGCAGGCATTTCATGGACATTGTTTAAGTTAGTGTGCGGGTATGTGTGTGTGTGTCTTTATGTTTGGAAGGGGAACCTAACCTTTGTGTTTGGGAAACCACAGACAGTTACTAGTAATCTGCTTTAGGGCAGGAAGGCATTGGCAACCCTAGCCAAATGTGCCACATTGGTTGCAAACGGTCAGGATCAACCTGTCCCTGACTCCTCTACCTCATCTGTAACAAGTAATAAAAACCCGCTGCTTCTGTGGTTCTCACCACTCAAACTTGTGTTGGCCCCAGCTGGGTCGGGGCGTGCTCCAGTGAAGGGAACTGGAGCAAGCCCCAGTAGCCTTCAAAGCAGGTTGTATGCTCCAAATTAGGTTTACATAAACTAACTGTTCCATGCTTGGGAAGAAAGCCTTTAACTTTGGAAGTATGAATTATTTGGGGGGGCTTAATACCTTTTGATAGTATTGATTAGCAGTCTTTTGTGACCTTGGACCTTCCTGAGAAGAAGGGAAAGGGTGGGAATGGACATCCCTGGCAAACCCTAACTGAAAATGCTTAGGTTAAAATTTTGTGGCTGGAAATTTCGTATCGGATGATGACATTTTGTTCCTGTCCAAAACTGCTAAGAGAATAGTTAGTAGCAGGTGATCTTATATCAAAAGAGAGAAGAACATTCTTCCTCACAGATGTAATTGTATTCAGAGAAAAATATTTCTGTGGAATGCTGATGGTCTCTGGAAAGCTTATGAGAAGCATGTATCTGAAGGAGGAGAGAATTTGTGAAGAAAGGAGCACTTGTCTACTTAGTTGCTACAAAGACTTTTTTTTTTTTTTACCTGCAGTATTGTAATTTGAGCTTTATGCTTCTCCTTAAAGAATGTTGTTCCTCGAAAATGCTAAGCTTTTTTGAGGTGTGTGAAGATTACTGGTCTCTTCTGTCTCCAGTCGGTTTTCTCCTACACTTATTAGAGGCTGCTCTTCCAAACTAATGTCAAACTATCTCTTTCCTTTGAGTTTATCTGGGATCTTCATTCTCTTACATGAACAACTTGGAGGCTGGAAGAACAATCTGAAAGTTTTCCTGTTTTTCTAACACAGTATCATTCTTCATCTGCATGACAGTAGTCTTAATTTTTGAGACCTTCTGTGAGCCTTAGTTCTTTCTGAACAAGACTGGTTTTGTAAGAGCTGAAGATCACTCCGTTTATTGTTGCAGTTGTGGCTCATTATTTCTTAATTTGTCACTTCAGAGCGGATTATTAGGATAATGGGATAAATTGGGCTACAGACTTAAGTTTATGTTAGCAAAATTTTTAAGCTTTACAGTTTATAAAAGGTAGAGGATGTTGATTTAAAGATCACCTCCTAGAATGTGCTGTGACTGTCTTCTAAACGCTCTGTTAAAAATGGACCTGAGAGAACCAAATTAAATATTTTTTTATTTAAATTATTTTATTTGAAAAGACCACTTATTGAAAGTGTTTTTGAATGTTTAATGATTCAGCTGTAATAATCTTTCAAGTATACCTTTTCTTAGTGATAGAAGTAGACAGGTCTACATCAGTTGCATTAAAATGTTGGTTAGAAGTAGATTGGTGAAATTGCATTAGGATTCTGCCATGAGTGCTGCTGCAGAGAATTTAAATGGCCTTTATTCAGGTTCACTTACGTTCCCTTTATTATGTTCACTTTTGGAAACATATACCTTTCTAGTTTGTCAGTTTTCTAGCACTTCTATCACCACAGTGTTTGCTTTGGAGCGGCCAAAGTTAGTTTTTTATATTTTCAGTTAGTAAATCACACTGGTTTTCTTTTTAAAAAATACTATATTCCAGCATTCTCATTATATGCTTTTGACTAGTTTTGGGTCCTTTGGATAAGATGGTGTCAGGGATCGTCAGTATCCAAGCCTCAGAACAGTGATTTTGGTTTTTGTGCATTAGAAACTTCCATTGAAGTTATTTGACATTCATCTTTGTTCTCTTGTAGCCCTGTTCTCTGTTTCTAAAGCTGTTGCACGTTCACCTAGAAGCTTTTTTTGATACCTTAGAATGGTTAGTTCCCTGTCTTTTAGTAACTAGGTCTCACACACCTCTTGTTTTAATGCAGAGTGCTGGCAAACAGCTTGTGATGTTATGGTCAATTTTTTTGGAGCTTCATGTCTCTTCAAGTTGGTCTTCTAAACATGAGATTGTGGTTTTTTTCTTGATGTAAATTTGTACATGATAAACTAATAGACCGATGTAGACATAGCTGACTTAGTCCAAAGCTGGTTGAGTCCTCACATTTCTACCCTGGCCCTGGTGTGGCTTTGAGCTAGAACAGAGGCAGTGTTACTGGTTATTTATTTATTAAATTATTTTTCTGTCTTTCACCTGTCAGCAGTCAGTGCTTTAGAAGCATAATCCTTTTGAATCAAGTATTTCAGTAAATCTAGTTTGAAACATTTGTGATGAAGAACCAAAATGTTATGTTAGTGTAAATGGTTAGTAGTTAATGACTGTCCAACTAATTTTAATATGACTCATTTTCAATGGAAAATTTTCAGACAAAACCAAAAACAAGGAGAGCAAAATTAAGATGAGTGATTCAGTCTGACACTTCAGTCTCAGCAGATGTGTCAAAAAGCTCAGCTATTGAATGAAGAATACAATTAACTCTTTTTTCCTTTTCTGTGCTTCCTCAAAATCTCTTATGTAGAGGTAAAATTATTGCTTATGACAAATGGGATTGTAAAGCCATTCAAATGGAAGGGACCTCAGGTATAGTTCACTCCCCTGACTGAACTTGGACAACGTTGCTTAGGGCTTCATCAAGTTGGATCTCGATTTGATTATTTTTTTGGGATGAAGAAAAAGCAGTTAGTTGTCAAACTTTATTCTTGTATTGGAGATACCAATATCCATGAAAAGAAAAAACATTTAAACGTTTAATAAACTTTTCTGAAATATAAAATTAATCTTTGGAAAAATTCACTGATGCATGAATTTTAGGAAGTATGGGAAGCATGTGAAGCAACATACAAAGACTATCCTGTAACTGAAAATTTTTGTTTTTAGAGCCTTGATGAATATGAAGATGATGAAGCAGGGCAGAAGGAGCGAAAGAAGGAGGATGCTATTACCCAACAGAATACGATACAAAATGAGAGTTCCAGTGCAGATACCCCTGGCTCATACTTACTACAGGTGAGATCTTGACACTTGCTCGTTTTGATATTTTACTTGGTTTTTAAAGTCATAATATCTTCTTCTTTGTTCTCCTACTTAATGGTAGATTATACCCTATATAGAAACAAACATGAAATTCAGGAGTTGTCACATTACTAAAACCAGAGTATGAGGTTCCATTCCCCAAACTCAACACTACTGAGACTGGTTTCGGGGAAGAGAATCCCTTGTTTCTGTAGGGGCTTTGAAGGCAGAGGTATTGACTGATGTCCACCAAACACTCATTTGATAAGAGGAAGAGAATCCTGGAGATTCAAGTGAGAAATACTTGTAGTTTTAGGAAAATTAAGTAATTGGAGGTAAACTTTTCAAATCAGGACGTAATTTCCCAATTTAATTGATTGTCAATTAACAAACTTCTAATTACTGACTCTGGTATTGAAACAAGCACACACACTTAGGGAAAACACTCCTTGCCCTTTGTGAAACCTCTTCTCCCCTTTTTGTGTTCTCCAGTCTCCTTGCCACAGGTTACACTCAGTCCTGCAGCCCTCCCCCCATCAAAACCTTGCCAATTATGCCCTGTACACCCCTCCTGCATACTATACTACCTGTGGCACATGTTCTCTTTCCTTTCGTGCCCTTAGTGTCTTTAGCCAGTCTTGTTTCTCCTTCTTTTCTGTTACCTAACAGCGTGTGTAAACCCAGCTGTACACACTGAGTCCATCTAGCTCTGCCTCTTGCCTCTAACAGAGGCAATAGCACAGGGAGAAAAATATATACAGAGCAAGCCCATAGTGATAGTTTTCGAACCACCAGTGGGATATCCTGAACCAGAGGGGGCATCACTGAATTTAGTGGGTCTGGATGCACTTTCCTTCTAAAATTTTGCCCGGTCTTTCATATGCTCATGGTGCGTTTAACATTCAGAAGAGCCTAAGGCAAAAAGGTCTACAGCTTAATTACCTGGAATGTGAAGAACAGTCTCCTTTTGTTTAAGTTGAACCTGTCATTTGCCGTGTGTTTCCATGTGATTTCACCAAGGTGTCCCAGTGGAAGACATGGGGAACAACTGCTTCCTCTTTATGTGACCGAGTGCCGCAGAGAGAGCACAGCCCCTCTCAGCTGTCTTTTCTCTAGGCTGAAGTGTTCTTTTTTATTTAGCTGTTGTTTGTACAGGAGATATTAAGTAACGTTCGGTACTTTTTCTGGTTTGAACTATATTTTATTTGGGATCAGGAAACAACCTGAAGAGTTCAGTACAGCATGCAATTGTAGAGTGGTTTAATGGTGGTTTTTGTTTTGTTCTCTGTTTCTTTCCTGACAATTCCTGATAGTCTGCCTGTTTGTCTGCAGCTGAGCACTGAGTTTACTTTTTTTGTCGTGTTTGTCTACTCTAACTTAACATTTTGGGGTTATCTGTGAGTGATAATAGCCAGCTCAGAGGCTGATGCATATGTAAATTTAGAAGCATGTTTACCGTTTTGTCTCACTTCGTGCTTATGTACACTAAATTTCATCTCCCGTTTTACCTCCCAGCCACTCCCAATAGAGAAGTCCTGCATGTTTTCACAGTTGACTCTCATCTTTTCTGTTCTGAGTAGCATCTGTGGACATCTGCTTCCCGACTATATTGAAAAGCACAGGTCCCAGCACAGATTCCTGTGGAAGTCTTCTGGGTACTCCATCCACTGCAAAAGCTGACCATCAAGGCCCAGCATTATTGTGTCTTTTCACCAGTGGTTTATTCATGGAAGGACATTAGCTCTTATTGCAGTACGGCTTAATTTCTTTAAGAGGCTTTGGGGAATGCCTTTTTGAAACTCAGTAGGCTGCCAACCAACTTTCTCTTCTGGACATTTTTTCACTTAAAAGCTGTATTAGATTTGTGAACTGTAACTATTTTACAAATATGCTGGTGACTCTTCCATACTATATCATATTTACTCATTGATTCCCTAATTGTTTTAGACTTACTAGCACCACTTTATTCAGTATAAATATCAAGCTTACTGGTCTATAGTTCTCTCGTCTACTTTAGAATCTGCTTAAAGATAGTGATTATGTTAACCACTGGTACTAGGGCAGTTTTAAGTGAGAGATTTTACATGATCTTGAGTAGTTCAGCTGTGACATTTTTCATTAATATCAATAGTTCCTTCAAAACTCAAGGAGTAAATACCTTCTCATTCTGGCAATTAAGGTTTTTTTTTTTCCATTTTGTTAATTTGTTTTTAAGTTCTACCAGTGCTTCTGGTAGACCCTTTGTGTCTTCCATGAAGAAGTACTCTAATGTGAGACATTTACCATGCTATTCCATGGTGAACACCAACAAAAATAGTTCTGCAGAAAAACTGTCTCTGAGCACGCCTCATAAAACTTGATCTATTGTCTTTGCAGATTCTTTGGCAGGATTCCTCATTCTGAAATGTTTTTATACTTTTTCCAAGTTGTTTTTTAGACTCTTTCTTATTGTGTTCACTCTGTTTTCATTTCTTCAAAATTAGTCTGAAAGTTGTCAATTTTCGTTTCCCTTAGTGGCATTATTACATAATGCTTTGGCTATACTCCTACGCCCCTGTTTTTTCATCCATATTTTCTATTCTTCTTGACCAGCAATCTCAGCTTCTATTTACCAGGCTGTCTGTATTAATTGTATCCTACACGGTTCCAAGTTTGTCACCTCTGTATTCAAACAGGCACTGCTTCTTTGTTGACAGAGCACAGCAGGGGTGTCTTGTCACTGACAATACAGAAGAGAGTCCCAGTCCTCAGATCTGGCAAAGACCCAGGATGGCACATGTACAGAACAGATGGAACCTTAGAAAGTCGTAGCTGCTAAGACTTAATCAGTTTATTACTGACTCTGTCAACTCGCTTTTTATGAGAAGACTTATAACTTGCCTAATTTGAACAGAATTTGACAGCAGTGTTATTTCAGCTTTGATGACTTAGTTTCCTTTTGTTTCTCCTCTGTGCAACAGTTAAGCCTAATTCTGTTCTTAAAAGTAGAATTTGTTTTAGATCTAAGAATTCAGTCAATTCTAGTTGCCATTGACCAATATTTATTCTAGTTCTGTCTACTAAGCAGAATAAATTTATTTCTGTAGTTAGACATGTTCGCTGACTTGTCCATTCTATTATAATTTTATGAAATTTGTAAATATATAATTACTGTGACATTTATAGGGGAAACAAGACAGTTAATATTGACTTCATGTATGATGGACAAATATGTTGCTGAATAATGTTTTGTTTCCAATGCTTAACCTGCTCTTTCAGTCCTGTTTTAACATTGTCAGAAGTTGCTGTTCTCCTTCTCATGGGCAAAATGTACAGTTTTTGAAAACTGCCTGAATTTGAAGTCCTTGATCCAAAGCACAAAGATAAGAGATTTGTTTAAGAATAGATCTAAAAATATACAAGACTTGAGAGTATTTTCCCCGCAGCAGAACTATTTGGCTGAAATCAGCTTCTCAATTATTTTACATTGGAAATATGGAAGATGATAGGTCTGGCAACATTATAAACATTGAAAAACAATTACAATCGGAACTGTTACTTAACTTTAGCAAAAGATAGTGTGGAAAGCCACACTTCACCAGGTGAATCAACCTTAATCCATTCCCAAACACAAGTGTTACATCTGGCTCTGACTTCCTTGCTTGATTTTCCTCCTATTTTTAATGCTGCGATTCAGTGGTTCTGAGCTTATGAGTCACAGTGCTGTGGACTACTCATTGATGTGTACGGGGATGCAGACTGAGTGGTAAGTTTTATGTAAAGAAGCTTAGAACTCTTACAAATTAGCTAAAAATTTGTAATGCTAAGGACAAGCATAGTTAAAGTTACTACTTTAAAGTTACTAAAGTTACTACTTTAACTAGGAATCAGTGGAGTCTGGCAATTATATAAATCTAGCTCTTGCTTAGCAGAGATGGTAAAATTAAAAATAGTGCAAAGCTATTTGATAGCAATGTCTTTCTTGCAGTTGGACAGAAATTATATGTTCAGGGTAATGAACGTCTTCTTTTTTGTTAATTGAAGAGGGTATTAGTAAGTACACAATATAAAGATAACTTGCATCAGAAAACCTACAAAATTTGGCTGGAAAAATGATTAGTTTATTGATGACTTTTTTTTTTAAGTCTCTTAGAAGACTTGCTGAGTTCCAGAATGTGGAAAAATGCTACTATTGTGCTAATGCCCAAAAACCCCCCCCCAAACCCCACCATATGCAAGGCCTTAAATTTTGCATCAAAGCGTTCAGGTTGTGCTCAGTTGACCATGGTCATCTGCCTCCTGGAATTCAGTGGTTTGGGGAATATTTTAAGAGACCAGATGCACAAATATGTGCCCTTCTTGGTGTAATCCTGTGGCAGTAGGGTTAACATAACTTCTATGTCATTATAGAAGTGATATCTGAGCATGATAGCATGTTGTGGTGTCTGTATTACTTTGTGGTGGTGTTGGAAAATTGGAGAGCAAATTGGGAAGGCTGAGAAGATTAATCCAAAGTCAACAGCAAGCTCAGCAGTGGGAGACTCCATCCCTTAAAACCTTCAAATCACAACTGGGTGTTTTTCTGGAACTCATGCCATGATCACACAGGACTGTCATTCTCAATACCTTGGAAGGAGTTGGAAATCCTTTGCTTCATGTTATCTTTGGTTCCTTTCTGCTTGCATTTTATTTCAAATGTTGTAGTGTCTGTGAATGCTAGTTGTGCTGTGCACCGTATGAACACACTGCAAAAAAACTTCATCAGCTGTGAACAGTGTGACATTTAAGTGTAAGATATGGGAATAGTTCAGTAAATATGTCTTGGCAAAAGCACCAAGAAACAACAAGATGCTTGAGATCTTCAGAGTTATTTTTGACATTGGCATGGGGATAGGGTTTATTGTGTTCTAGATGTGTGTTTTTCTCCCAACTGATTACAAAAGGGGTCTCACTAGATCAGATGTAGGTGTCTAAAATTAGATGGGCTGCATCCTTTCCTCTCTTGGCGAACTTGG